CTGGTTAGCGCTTGGATGGGAGACCTCCAAGGAAGTCCAGGGTTGCTCCTCAGAGACTGACAATGGCAAGCCACCTCTGCCTCTCTCTTGATTTGAAAATCCTATGGGGTTGCCATAAGTAAGCTGTGAATTGATGGCGCTTTCCACCACCCCTTAGGGAATTTTTTTGGATTAGATGCCGCTCGATTGAATACCTATTCCTGGATCAGGCTTAGAGATGTGAAGGCCTGGGGAAAAACCGGAAAAATTCGGGGGGAAAACGGGTTTTTTCCGTTTTTTTCCTGAAGCCTTTTTGGTTTTTTCTGAAAAATTGGAAAAATTGAAAAAAGAAAAAAAATTGATTATGGAACGTTTTATTTTAACATGATGAATAGAAATTTTTAAGACAAGGTGTTCAAATATTTTCCAGATCATTTCTAAAAAAATATGTATGGTGTCAGATTGATCTAATTTCTGTGCACGGAGGACAAGCAAGTCCTAGGTTACAAACTGAACTCTCCAATACAAGAACAAGATGCATTTCTTCCTTTAAGAGGTGCTATTGTCACAAGAAAATAAAAAGGCTTCAGTTTTGTTTTTGCATGTGGGTGGGTATTCTGTTTGTAATAATTGTTTGGATACACTGTATTTTTAATATGCTAGTTGTGATAATTTCATGCCAAGTAAAAATGCCCATAGTCATATTTTATGTTCCTAAAGTAACAGAATGACTTTCAATCTAGAAAAGAAAAAAGAAATGCTAATGTAGCATTTTTTCAATTTTTCCAAACATTTCCAGAAATAATACATCTCTAATCAGGTTTACCCCTGATTCACAGTACTTTGTTTTTGTCTGGGTTTAAGTTTCAGTTCCCTCTTTTCTGTTTCCTTTAAGCATGTCCCCCACCTCCCTGGAATTAAATAGAAAGGAGACAGAAATAGTCATGTTGTCGTCAGCACGCCCTCCAAATCAGGGCTCCCCAATGTGGTGCCTGGGGGTGCCCCAATGTGGTGCCTACCAAAACCCTTCCAGGCGCCCGCCCGCCTAGTGTTTTTAGAAAGTGTGCCCGGCAGGGTTTCTGATTGGCTGTGCAGGTTAAAAGGCATCCTGTTAAACAGAGGTTCTGCCTTAACTGCTGAAGAGTTATTATAACGGTTATGCATGGCCTCAGTCCCTGACATTTTGTGGTTGGCTCCATCTCCCATGGAAGCCATTTTGTTGTTGTGCCCACCACTCCGTGTCAGAATTTGAAGAGTGGCCAGGGGCTAAAGAAGGTTGGGGACCCCTGCTCTAAATCCTTGAATGACCTCTCCCAAAGATTTCATATGGATGTTAAATAGCCTGGGGGGCAAGAGGGAACCATGTGAGATCCGGTAGGCCGAGGGACCAAGTAACCGTCCAACACTGTTTTCTGGAACCTACCCTTAAGGGAGGATCGAAACCATTCCAGCACTGTATCACCAAGATGCATTACCACCACGATACTCAGAAGGGTATCATGACCAATGTTCCCTCTAAGCTGTGGAGTCTTGTGAGCATAAATTCTACTTTGTGAGCTACTGGCATTAAAGTTGTGAGCAAGTGATTTGGCTACTGCATAAATTTCGTTTGCTCTGGAGCCATCCTTCCTGAGCCAAGACAAAAATGTGTGAGCTGGAGGCTAAAAAACTGTGAGCTAGCTCACACTAACTCAGCATAGAGGGAACACTGATCATGACTGATGCTGTACAAAGCTGTTGAGAGATTCAGGAGAACCAACAGGGGAAGGAATAAACGCACCGTTAGGAGACTGATGTAGATTGCTTTTCAAGACAATCAAAATGGCTTCCTTGCTGTATCCAGGATGAAAACCAGATTGAGAAGGTTCTAAATAATTGGTTTCATCCAGACATACATGCCCTCGAGAGCCATTGCATTCTCCAGAATCCTCCCTGATTTTCTGCTTGTGAAAGAGCATTGTCTTCAGATTACTACAAAGGCTACATTGGGGGTTATGAGGCCTGCATGGACAAACACAAACGCGGAGCCAGGGTTGCGGAGAGGGAGGGCGAGAATGAGTGGGAAAGCTGGTAGGTTCCAACCAGTTACTTAAGAATGGCAGATTACACACAGGCCTGTCATTCAGGTCTCATGGATCTAATGTTGACTTTTTCAAGATCTGCCTTATCCCTGAACCTTCTATCAGTGAATGGGACCTGCTATGTTTGCGCTATGTAAATATTTTATGTGGATTTTATTTCTGTGTTTTAAAGTGGAGAGTTTTATGTGTATGTTGCTGTTATGCAGGCCTGCAGAGTAAGAAAGAGGGGGCTGGATGAATGATTAACGTGTGTTATGTTTGGATGGTAGTTGGACTCAATGGGACAGAGTTTGACTGGTTGGGACAGAGAGAGGCTTTTGTGTGAGAGACAGTTAAGTGTGGCTGTGGAGAAAAGACTGACGTGTGAATGGGTGAAGAGATGGAGTGAGGTGCTGCGTAGTGTGAGAAGAAAATAAGCCTGTGTGGAAGCTAGTAGCCTAAGTGGCAGGTGAGGGAAATAAGCTTGTGTGGAAGCTATTAGCCTAAGTGGCAAATGAGGGTAATAAGCTTGTGTGGCAGCTATTAACTTAAGTGTCAAGTGAGGGAAATAAGCCTGTGTGGAAGCTATTAGCTTAAGTGGCAGGTGAGGGAAGTAAACTTGTGTGGAAGCTATGAGCCTAAGTGGCAAGTGAGGGCAATAAGCTTGTGTGGCAGCTATTAGCCTAAGTGGCAAGTGAGGGTAATAAGCTTGTGTGGCAGCTATTAACTTAAGTATCAAGTGAGGGAAATAAGCCTGTGTGGAAGCTATTAGCTTAAGTGGCAGGTGAGGGAAGTAAACTTGTGTGGAAGCTATTAGCCTAAGTGGCAAGTGAGGGAAATAAGCTTGTGTGGCAGTTATTAGCTTAAGTGGCAAGTGAGGGAAATAAGCTTGTGTGGAAGCTATTAGCCTAAGTGGCAATTGAGGGCAATAAGCTTATGTGGCAGCTATTAGCTTAAGTGGCAAGTGAGGGAAATAAGCCTGTGTGGAAATGAGCCTTAGTGGCAAGTGAGGAAAACGAATCTGTGTGGAAGTTATGCACTTAATGGGCTAGTGAGGAATATAAGACTGTGTGGCTGTTATGAGCCCAAGTGGCAAGTGAGTGAGAGTAAGCTTGTGTGGCTGGGTCTGTTTAAGGAACTCTGGAGAGAGAAGAACTATACACCTATCAGAAACTATTATGCTTATGTACCTATGTGAAACCACATTCATCTTATTAACCATACAGAAACCGTTATGCTATTATACTTATAAAGAAACTGTTTAAGAGAAACAACTGTTTTATTTATGGTAAGGCTCCCCTTTGGCCTCAGAGCCATCCCCACGTGCTGACTGTTGTATCAGTCTACCAGATATAGCTAAGCCATCCTGTTCTTTGGGTCCAACTAAGAATTCTTAGGCAAGAAGAGCCTTCGGCGGCAGCAAAAATAAGTAAGGAAATAGACGGTCACCTCAGAACACTACGGAGAGGGGCCTGTAAAGAGATTACATAAAAGGGGTCTCATAGAGAAAAAGTGAAATAGTTACAGAACCTTCTATTGGTGATGTTCTGGTAATGCCTTGGAATAGCTGATAGCTGGCTGGTTTTATTAGCCAGGAAAAACAAGTATCCGATAAACATCTCAGACCTCTCAAGAGTTCTGTTCCCAGGTTGTGCTAACTGAAAAGTGTCCATAGAAACCTCACCAGTGGAAACCCCGAGAACATTCATGACTGCTTTAATTAACCAGGAGTCTAAATTGGCTTGAATGTGAGGTTTTTCTTTCTTTCTATGAAGTGTTTAGAAATTGGTCTCAGTGTTCTTCCAAGACATGGGTTATTTGCAGGCGTGGGGGTGGGTTCCGCCATCTATACCAGCAGCATCCGTCTTTCTCCGGAGTTGCTCATACAAGTTGATCCTGAAAGTGTTTTGTGCTAAAACCTACCAGATTATAATTCAGCAGGCCTGCTGATATACTTTGACTGGGCCGGTCCTTTGAGTCTGCAGAAACGTGAACTAACTGTTCCTTATACACTGGAAGAGGACGTCTTCCCTCTGGTGAACCCATTTGGTGCCCTGTGAAAAGCAAACAGTGCGTCATAGTCCACAGAAGGTCGTTCTCCCGCCCAGTGTTTGTTTGATTTAGAGGAATGGATGCCAGCCACGTGTGGTCGTCTACTTTTGGGAGAGCAGAGAGAGCAAATTCCTCTCTGGAGGATACTGATGTTGAACACTCAACACTGGGGAGGCAGCTGTCCTGGCCACGGATGGAAGGGAGCTTTAAGAAGGGGAGTTACTGTCTCCAATCCTTCCCTCTTCCTGCCATCAACGGAGTCTGCCGTGACAATCTAGAACCGTGGACAGCAGCATCTCTTTTCCAGGTTTCAGATTCTTGGAAGTGCAAGACATGGGGAATGTAAAGATTATGCTTGGGGTGGGGGGGAGATTCCTTTCTGCCAATCCAGGGTTCTAGCGTTATCCACTCTCTGTAAATGCAAGCAAATCATTGCGTGTCTGCTCTCGTTCTAGGATGCCATTCGGACTCTCAATACGCTCCAGACGAATGCCAGCTATCTGGAGCAGGTGAAGCGGGAACGAGGAGACCCGCAGGCCCAGTTGGAAGCCATGAAAGGATTCTTGGAGCGCAGTGGGTTAAAGGTGAGAGGCTCGGAGGCTTTGCCGGAGGGCACTGGACCCTAGGAGTGTGCAGGGCAGGTTTTTCTTCATCTGGCATGATAAGATACAGGGGGCTGTTACTCATGCAGACTCTCAGCTTTCCTGCTGTGCTGTCGAACTGTAGTTGGGGAGGAGCGGGTTGGGGGGGCAGGATTTGAAAAACGAAGCTGATAGGTTTGTTCACCTCTGGCAGGTCGAAGATCTGGATCAACTGAACATTATTCACGTCACTGGAACGAAGGGCAAGGTAAATAAATGCATTGGGGGTGGTATTTGAGTGCAGAGGAAGAGTTTTGGAGGTGTAGTGAGAGACCCTGACCTGAATGGCCCAGGCTGGCCCAATCTGGTCATCTCTTGGAAGCTAAGCAGGGTCGGCCCTGGTCAGTGTTCGGAAGGGAGACCACCAAGGAAGCAGGCATTGGCAAATGACCTCTCAACGTCTCTCGCCTTGAAAACCCTCCAGGGTTGCTGTGAATCGGCTGCGACTTTATGTCACTTACCGCCACCGCAAAGGAGAGACAGTTTTGCTCACTGGTTAGAGTGCCAGCCTCAGATCTGAGACCTGAGTTCAGATCCCCACGCTGCCATAAAGCTTGACTGGGAATTTGTCTTATATATATGAAATACTTTTGTTTTGTTTTTTTTAAAAAAAGCTTGACTGGGTGACTTTGGGGGCGGTTGCATTTTGTCAGCCTACCCTACCTCGCAGGGTCGTTGTGTGACAGTGGGAAAGAGCAAACCAGGTACATTGCCTGAATTCCTTGCACAGAGGGTGGGTTGAAGCTGTGTTAGACATGCTTACGAGGACTTGATGTGAGGGGAAAGTGGGAAAGGCAGTGAGCCACTGAATTTTGGGAAGGAGAATGCTCAAATTTGGGACCATGCTGGCGGGTCAAATCCTCCAGCGCTCCCCCGATGTATTCAGTCCAGAGGCTTAGTGTTTGACTGTGGGCAAAATCATCATTTCCCTTAGCCCCCTGTGTGTTAAATAGGCTAATTACCCTTTTGCATTGAGTATATGAACTAGATGGGAGTGTTCATATGTTAGAAAATGGTGTCTGTGCCCCGGGGCAAGTACTGGATAGGACCGCAGGGGAGAGTTCTGAATCTGGTGGGAGTTGACCATTTCTGAGCTGAGGGTCGGCAGTGGCTTTAAGTTTCCTATGTGCAATTTCCCCATCCCTCAAATTCCCAGCCCCACCCTAGCCTCACTGTTAGGTAGAGCTGCCAACCTCCACGTGGCACCTGGAGATTTCCCACTGTTGTTACACTTGTTCTCCAGATAACCAAGTTCAGTTTCACTGGAGAAAATGGCTGCTTTGGAGGGCGGACTCTAAGGCATTATACCCCTCCCCAAAACCCGCCCTCCCCAGGCTCCACCCCCTTAATTTCCAGATATTTCCCAGTCCAGAGCTGTCAGTGCTACTATTAGGCCACATTAGAGTTCTGAATATATTTGCATTTCACCAATTTAACTATCTGCAGGCTCTGTTATAGCCCCTGTCGTTTCCCCCCCCTGACGGTATGCCTGAATCGCAGTGGAGAACTGCTTTGCTCAGATATCTCGATGTGTGAAAATGTTGATTTGGAGTCTTTTAATCAGCTACTGTGCCTCGGAAAGTCAGGCCTTCCCATTGGGAAAAATGGCCGACTCTTTTCAGCTGTCTTGGCTTGGATGTTTAGTGACCCTTACCATCTTCTTCTGCCTCAGGGTTCAGTGTGTGCCTTTACAGAACGTATTCTACGCAACTTTGGCTTAAAGACTGGTTTCTACAGGTAGGTCGCTCTGGAAGGTTGGTGGTGGCTATAAGCATGGACGGCTTCAAGAGGGAATTAGATAAACATACGGAGCAGAGGTCCATCAGTGGCTATTAGCCACAAGGTATAGATAGGGGCTCTGGGGCGAGTGATGCTCTGTCTTCTTGGTGCTTGGGAGGGGCAACAGTGGGAGGGCTTCTAGTGTCCTGGCCCCACTGCTGGACCTCCTGATGGCACCTGGTATTTTTGGCCACTGTGTGACAGAGTGTTGGACTAGATGGGCCATTGGCCTGATCCAACATTGGCTTCTCTTGGCAATGGCAAAAGCCACCTCTGAACATCTCTTGCCTTGAGAACCCCAAGGGGTTGCCGTAAGTTGGCCGCAACTTGATGGCAAAAAAGCAAAAACAAGCCAGGATTCCAAACTGTGATTTAGTCCTGGTTTGTAGGCAAGAAATAAACCATTGTTTGTCATTCTGTGTCACCTCCAGCTACCTTGTGGATTCTGTTTAAACTTTTTATTGATAAAGAATGTAGAGTTTTTTGAATGCAAATTTTCAGAAAGACAGAATATTAAGCATTTTAATGTATATCTTGAAGGAAAATAATTTAATCCGTTGTCTTCTGTCATAAACATAACCCTCTCCCCTAATAATAGATCAGGTTTAAACCACAGGGAGGTTGGAAGTCTCTAAATTAAAAGCTGGTTAGAACACAAAGGGAAAATGCTAATGAGCGGGATAAACCAGCGTGATTAGTATGTTGGACTAACATTGGAGAGTCCCTAGTTTGAGCCTTCTCTCAGCTGTGAGAAAAGCAAGAATTAAGCCTTTGAATCTCAGAGCCAGGAGGCAACATCCGGGGAAGGCCTTGGCCTCTGTGCCCTGTTGTCGGCTGTCCAGAGGAACTGGTTGGCCACTGTGTGAGACAGGATGCTGGACTAGATGGACTATTGGTCTGACCCAGCAGGGTTTTTCTGATGTTAAGAACAATGTTTGGTGCCCTGAGCTCCTTGGAGAAGGTTAGATAAAAATATCATAACGGAGAGGAAGAGAAAAGGTCTTCTTTTTGGTTCTTGCTAATACCAGTCAACTGAGCTTGTGTTGTAAACTGGTTGAGTTGTGAAGAAGGGTTTTAGTTGGGGTGGGGAGCTGGCTCTGGTCATTTGCCTGGCTGCTCTGTGGAGGGAGAGGGGTACTGATAAGCATGAACAGAATCACAAAGCAAAATTTTGCCCTGTTCATGGTTCCCGAAGAGAAGTTCGTGACGGGTTCGCTGTTACGAATTTGCACAAACTTTTAGAGCGGGTCTTAGGTTCTTGGTGGTTCGTGGATGGAGCAGAAACCGGGAGTTTAAAGGGACTCAGAGTCCCTTCAAACCCCTGCTTTCTGTTCCCCATGAAAGCCACAGCTGTCTTCGGCAGTTCCTTTATACTTTAAAGGAACTGCAGAAGACAGACTGAAAGAGCTGAGCAGTGGGGAACATGCTGCTCCTGGCCACTCAGCTGTTTTTCGGGCTTTCTGCAAACCCTGTTTAAAGGGACTGCGATCCCTGTCAACCACAGAGCCACAAACCGCATGAACCAGTTCAGTTCGTAAACGAGTAGTTTGTGGTTCGATTCATGGTTCGGCTGTGAACCTTGAACTGAACCACATTTTCCCAGTTTGTACCCATCCCTAGGGAGGGGCCCTGTTTTTGGAGGGGCTGAATTTAATCTGTCTTGTACATTCTCCTCTTAGCTCTCCACATTTGGTCCAGGTACGCGAAAGGATTCGGATAAACGGGCAGCCGATCAGCAAAGAGCTCTTCAGCAAATACTTCTGGCAGGTGTATAACCGGTTGGAGGAGACCAAGGTGAGCGGAACAGGCTTTTTTGCCTGTGGGAGAAAAATAAAAATATAAGCAATGCTCCCCCCCCCCCCAATTTTTATCAGGAAAAACAGATAACCAGAGTCTGTCGTTGTCAACCAAGGTTTAGTATGAAAAGAGTTTATATTTGTTTGGTCCCTCAGATTAATAATGAGTCTTGTTATGCCTCTGTCACATAATCTGTCTCCTGCTGACTCTTCTGGCTCCTGATCTAAGGCCTGGTTCCCAGATGTGGGTGGTTGAGGTGATAGCATGGGCTACAGCAGATATCCCCACCAACGCTCCCTCTCAGCTGTGGAGTCTTGTGAGCAAAAATTCTACTTTGTGAGCTGCTGGCATTAAAATCGTGAGTGAGCTCTTTGGCTGCTGTGTACATTAGTTTGCTCTGGAGCCATCCTTCCTGAGCTACGACAAAAACGTGTGAGCCGGAGGCTAAAAAACTGTGAGCTAGCTCACACTAACTCAGCTTAGAGGGAACAATGATCCCCACCCTTCACAGCCTGTGGACGCTTTGGGAATTTTGACACAAGGTGGTGAGCACAACCACTAAATGGCTTCCATGCCCAGTCACAAAATGTCAGGGACCAAGGTTATCCAGAACTCTGATAGTAGGTCTTTAACATTTTGGGCATAAACTCTGTTGAACGAGATGCCTTTTAAAATTAACGTATTGTTGCATACTTATTCAGCGAGCAAAGAAACCCTCATCTGGTTGTCTTCATTATGCGAAAGGAAAGGCGAGGGAAATGATGCTTTACATAAAGCCGCTGTCTGTGTTACACCATAAACATTGAATTATTTAATGGGCACCGGGAAAGGTGCAGGTGAACACCATGGTGCAGGTGGGCTGCACAATTTCGGCTTGTAAGTGGTGGACACCAATTTCCGATGCCTCCTGTGTGCAAAAAACATGATACAACAGGAACAAAAGTTCTAGCCTAGCTCAGTCTTTGGATGTTGCTTGTGGGAAATCAAATCTCTTATGTACATTAGGTGAGCATTCCAGAATGTGATTCCATCACCTGCAAAAGTAAGTTGATTCTTTCACTTTATAACGCCATTCTCCCAGATGTGTGGTCTAGGCTTCTGGTCCTGAAACGATGGAACTGGATCTGTGGCAGATGAGTTAAGAAGTCTGATCTTTGCCTTAAAACCTGTATATAATGTGTAAAGGAGTACTGTTACTTTTGGATCGACCGCAGTTGAGACACTTTGTACTCGGGTGGACTCTTCGGTATGCTCCAGTCCTCTGAACTTCAGTTTTTCTTTTAATTCACATCTTGGAAAAACCCAGCCTAGTTGATTTCTGGAGGCTAGGGAGAAAATGAAGGAGGCTTCATTTGGAGCTTGAAGTACTGGTTAGGAAATGTCATTTATCGATTTACAATATTTCTTTTCCTTTTCTTTTATTTGGTATTTTTAAATTAATTTTCAAAAATACAGTAGAAATAAGCATATATATCATTTTCATTGATAATACAACATTACCGTCTAGAATATTTCTGTGCCATTTCTTCCAAGTCCTGCTCGGGGTGGCTTATAATTAAAACTCACAGTATTTAAGACCACAAGCCATTAAAACATGTGGCCCTCCTCCTAACCATCCTGTTTTCCCCCCACAGGATTCTGAGCATGTTGCTATGCCGGCTTACTTCCGCTTTCTGACTATCATGGCTTTCCACGTTTTCTTGCAGGAAAAGGTACGGCACCCTCACATCATGCTCTCCTCCACTTGAATGATGGTTTTTTATTTGATGATGATGATGATGATGATGATGATGATGATGATGATGATGATGATAAAACAACTAAAACTAATTCTCATCGTCATCATGTTTAGCGCATTTGGAGAGTTAAGGCACTTGGCATATATGATGGCTGCAGTCCCTTAGAACAGCTCTGAAATGTATTGGTCTCATAATGGATATTTAGGGTTTGAAGCAGAGGAGAGATCTGAGCTGGAGACGTCCTGATCTGTAGCATTAGGGCTTTTTTTTTTGTAGAAAAAGCCCAGCAGGAACTCATTAGCATAATAGGCCACACCCAACTGCAGAAACTCATTAGCATATCAGGCCACACCCCTGACAGCACAGCTCATTGGCATATTAGGCCACACCCCATGTTACCAGACGTGTGCTCATCCTGTCACACCCACCTTTTGCTTGTTATTCTGTTTACCTTGTTTGTTGTCAAAACCCAGGGCTTTTTTTGTAGCAGGAACTCCTTTGCATGTTAGGCCACACACCCCTAATGTAGCCAATCCTAATGAGTGTCTGCTGTTGGGTGTGGCCTATTATGCTAATGCGTTCCTGCTGGGCGTGGCCAACTTGGAAGCCAGGAACTTGGAACTCCGTTCCTGTGCGTTCCTGCCCAAAAATAGCCCTGTGTAGCATTGTTCTCTCGGCCACGGGGACATCCCTGACTCTCTCCTTTTGTTGATGCCGGAAAAAGATTTATATACCACGTTACCTAAGGTAAAGGCGGGTTACACCAAAAATGCAATATATAATTATGCTACCAATCATCGGCAACATCCTAAAGCTCTAAAACAGACAGATGGTAATTTACGAACCGAGAAACGATGCTTGGAGAAAGCCCCTTCTCAGATCTACCTCTGGAAGCTGCCCAAACTGCAGCCTTCCTCAGGAGCTGCAGGTATTCCCTTAAGGGGAGTTTTCTCTCAGCTTTTCTGATACGTTCTTGTGTTCTTCTTAAGGTAGACCTGGCGGTCGTTGAGGTTGGCATTGGCGGCGCATACGACTGCACCAACATCATCAGGTAGGGAGATCAAAATGCCGGCCATCTCCTCTACTGAGAGGCTCTCAGAAGGCCTTCTTGCAATCGCATCTGCCACGTGCTGTACCAGTTGCTCTTCTTTCCGCCCTTACACACGGCAGTCCCAGCCCGGGTCGGCTTCCCCAGCCCCCTGCCCCTGTGCGAGCCAAGTTCTGCTGGTGTCGCTTGAGAACATCACTCTGGCTTCCAGAGGAAAGTGGGCAGGTGCGTAGCAGCCCTAGCGCTGTTGTTACACTAGATACCGAAGCAGCACTTTGGCGAGTGGACGGCGGCACTCGCTCAAAGGTCTGTTCTGATGTGGCACCATTTTCCTGGCCCTTGTTGCTGACGTGCATCAGATTCTCTGAGCCAAAGAAATGACTCGTTCTCGTGTTCATTCTCTTGCTTGTTACAGGAAACCTGTTGTCTGCGGGGTCTCGTCTCTGGGCATTGACCATACCAGCATCCTGGGAGACACCATTGAAAAGATTGCATGGCAGAAGGGGGGGATCTTCAAGGTAACGGTGCTCTGTTCTGATGCAAGGCCTTATTAAAAAAACCTTTTAAAAAACCCAGACGAGATAACAAGGGGGACAGGAGACCTCTGAATAGCAGAAAGTAACAGAGGTCGAAGAAGGATTATAGTAAAAGGTAAAGGTTTCGTTTGCTCGAAAGCTAGTCGAATCCGACTCTAGGGGGGCGGTGTTCATCTCTGTTTCCAAGCCGAAGAGCCAGCGCTGTCCGAAGACTTTTCTGTGGTCATGTGGCCAGCACGACTAAACGCCGAGGCGCATGGAATGCTGTTACCTTCCCACCGAATTGGTACCTATTTGTCTACTTGCAGTTTCTTACTTTTAGACTGCTAGGTTGGCAGGAGCTGGGGCCAGAGACGGGAGCTCACTCTGTCATGCGGCACTCGGGTCTCGAACTGCCGAACTACAGACCTTCCAGTCTGCAGCTCGGCGTCTTAAACCTCTGAGCTACCGCGGCCCTAAGAATGATTATAGAATGTGTAAAAAGAGATATTGAAGGTGCACAAATAATTCAAAGATTGCAAAAATGTGAAGAAGATGATTATAATTACAAAATTATAAAAACATCATTATATACCCACAATGGCAGTGATTAGGAACACTATCAATACCACTATGATGACATATCCAAAAAGGCTGGCAATTGGAAAAAATGCTGCAATATGACATATGCTATAAAGAATTTACAAGCTGCAAAAGACACACAACAAAGACAAGATGCCGGCTATATTCCTGTTTTGTTGTGTGAATCTTCATCAGTCGTGATTAAACTTGTGCAAGTGGCATCTGACTTACAGCAACCCTGTGTGGTTTTCAGAGCAAGAGACAAACAGAGGTGTTTTGCCATTGCCTTGCTTTGCATAGTGACCTTGGTCTGCCATGGGGGTCTCCTATCCAAGGCCTAACCAGGGCTGACCCAGTTTAGCTTCTGACAAGATCATACCCCCCAGGGTCATCTAGTCCAACCCCCACACAAACCCAGTGACCCCTGCTCCATGCCCAGAAGAGGACAAAAAACCTCCAGGATCCCTGGCCAAACCGGCCTGGAGAACAATTGTTTCCTGGCCCCAAAGTGGCAATCAGCATTTCCCTGGGCATGTAAAAAAGGGCCACAAGAACTAAGCACTGAAGCAACCCTTCCTGCCCTCCCTCTCATAATCTGCCTAAGTTCACAGAATCAGCACTGCTGTCAGATGGCCATCGAGCCTCTGTTTGAAAACCTCAAAAGAAGGTTCTGGTCTGACCTTCTGGGGCAACAGAAAACAACTCCACACCATCCCCTAGATGACAGCCCTTCAGGGACTTGAAGATGGTGATCATATCGGGCCAGCCTGGGCCAGCCAATTCAGGGTGCCTTTTCTGTACAGTGAATAAAACGGAACGTGGTGCTAGACTTGTGCCTGCAGAGAAGGATAGCAGG